AATTTTTTTCCAACTTCTGGGGTTCCTGCTATTGTGGTACGACTCGAAGGTGTTGAGAGGCTGAGCAAGGGTCGTCCTACCAGCCTGCTTGCTACCCCCCCCCCCTCCTCTTGATATATGCAAATATAATTATAACTATGCAAGAAGTTTCAAATCCATGAATATCCTGATGTTTAGTTAGATATTAAGCGGAATATTTCACTTTGCATACTATGCAAAGACACAGTGCTCAGGGAGAAAGGCTCAGGCCAGGCGTCCTAGCAGAGTACTCAGGGAGAAGATAAAAAGATACAAGAATTCTATATCTAACTTGAGACAAAGTCTCTGCCCTGACGTTCATGGTCGTAAGTTCTTTCCCTGATGCACTGGGTCGTAAGTCATCCACCAGACGCTTGGGATCGTACTCCTCTCTTCCCAGGACTCGGGGTCGTAAGTCAAAACAAATTTACATAGCTACGCTGTGAGGTAAATTAATTAATTACGTCAGGAAGTAATTCCAGGGAACAGCCACACAGTACAGAGCACAACTGAGCCTCCCTCTCTCTCCCAACGCGAGGCGGATCAACTTCAGTGACATCTATCAACGACATTTTGTCCGGCACTATTACCTATTTCCCCGAGCGAGTACGTGTCCGTGTTCGTCCCTATTAGCTATATACATGTGAGTACATGTACTCAATGCTGTCGCTATTTCTCACACCAACGCTAACACCTTTTACCACCAGGAATAATATCCTCGGACGAGAAATGGCGTCAGACAGAAACAGTTCGGTGAAGCCTGATCAAGGCCCCCAGGTGAGGTGGGTTCCATCGTCGGCTCCCGTGACGGTGAAATATACAGAGCAAGAATAAGTGTTATGAGGAGTTGCTAAGCTTCGGCAAGTTGCAGCCCCGCTTTTGTGCCAGGTAAGTCCACTACGGGCTCACCATAGCCCGTGCTACTTGGCACTTTTTGTTCCCAGTTGCTGAATCTATAACAACATGCTAAGCTTGTCAAAACACCGCCTGGGTATAGGGTACGGATCTGAGTAGGCTGGAGAACAGATCACTTAAATATATACATATATTGTACCTTAATGGGGGTTTCTGGGAGTTTTTCTCACTAATATATTCCATTAATGAGAGCATTTCAGATACACACAACACATTCATGTATGCACGCAAGGCCGCACGCACTCACACACACACTCACTGTGACACAGACAGCGTGCCTGGTGACAGGAGGGGTCGCCCCTGACACAGACAGCGTGCCTGGTGACAGGAGGGGTCGCCCCTGACACAGACAGCGTGCCTGGTGACAGGAGGGGTCGCCCCTGACACAGACAGCGTGCCTGGTGACAGGAGGGGTCGCCCCTGACACAGACAGCGTGCCTGGTGACAGGAGGGGTCGCCCCTGACACAGACAGCGTGCCTGGTGACAGGAGGGGTCGCCCCTGACACAGCTCCGCAATGACTCTCTGCAAAATAAATGAGACTTGGTCCAACATAACCTAATGGCGTGTTTGTCTTCATTTTTGAGAGAGGTGGCGATGACTTTTTTTTCCCCCGAGTGGGGCCAAGACGAACGGTGGGGGGGGGGTGATGTTAGGAGTGTGGGGGGATGATGTTAGTGATGTGGAGGGATGTTTGAGGCGAAGAGGAAGATGTTAGGTGTGTGGGGTAAGATGTTGGGTGTGTGTGGTAGGATGTTGGGTATGTGGGGTAGGATGTTGGGTAAGTGGGGTAGGATGTTGAATATGTGGGGTAGGATGAAGGGTGTGGGGTAGGATGTTGGATGTGTGGGGTAGGATGTTGGGTATGTGGGGTAGGATGAAGGGTGTGGGGTAGGATGTTGGGTGTGTGGGGGTAGGATGTTGGACGAGTGTGGTAGGATGTTGCTTGTGAGGGGGGAGAACGTTGAGTATATGAAAGACAATGTTGTGTGAGTGAGGAAGGATGTTAAGGTGGAAAGGTACTATGGGAGGGCTGCTGTGGACACGTGGGTGGATGTGCCGACGGATGTAAACAAACACAATGGAAAAGGGAATAAATAGAGAATAATAAGGTGAGAAGGAGACGGATGGGAGTGACAAGGAAGCATCCTGATAATCCTACTTCAGAATATTTCGTCTTTATTGATTATGCTGGGGTTATTTTACATGTTGTCGTCGTGTACACAAATACACATTATGAGACGTAATATATGTACACAGAGAGGTGTTGTGTGTACACACTTCTCTCAGTGTATGTACAGATTGATTTTGGTTGTTGCCGCCGGAGGCGGCTAGTTTATTGTGCACCCCATACTCATCCTGTGAGCGGTAGCGCAAAAATCACAGAGTTTACTGTAGTCCTGGACTATGGAAAGGACTAAAGTATTCCTGTTGTACTTGTGGTCGTTCTCGAACCCATTCTTGATATAATAATTCACTGGAAACTTTGTAACTAACTTATCAAATCAGCAATTTGCTTAGCTGCGGGTTACTTTGCGGTGATTTCAGGGCTCAACGTCTCTGCGGCCCGGTCCGCGACCAGGCCTCCTGGTTGCTAGACGGGGCTGCTCTCAGTCTGACGTATGAAACACATCGAATGAATTTTGGTGTTCAGTTCCTGAGCCCATTATGTGCTTCTGTAAGCTTTTCCACCACCGCCCACGGGATGGGTATGGTGTCCACTACCACCCACAGGATGGGTCCGAGGTCCACTACCGCCCACAGGATGGGTATGAGGTCCACTACCGCCCACAGGATGGGTATGGTGTCCACTACCACCCACAGGATGGGTCCGAGGTCCACTACCGCCCACAGGATGGGTATGAGGTCCACTACCGCCCACAGGATGGGTATGAGGTCCAGTACCACCCACAGGATGGGTATGAGGTCCACTACCGCCCACAGGATGGGTATGAGGTCCAGTACCACCCACAGGATGGGTATGAGGTCCAGTACCACCCACAGGATGGGTATGAGGTCCACTACCGCCCACAGGATGGGTCTGAGGTCCACTACCGCCCACAGGATGGGTATGAGGTCCACTACCACCCACAGGATGGGTATGAGGTCCAGTACCACCCACAGGATGGGTATGAGGTCCACTACCGCCCACAGGATTGGTCTGAGGTCCACTACCGCCCACGGGATGGGTCTGAGGTCCACTACCGCCCACAGGATGGCTCTGAGGTCCACTACCGCCCACAGGATGGCTCTGAGGTCCACTACCGCCCACAGGATGGCTCTGAGGTCCACTACCGCCCACAGGATGGCTCTGAGGTCCACTACCGCCCACAGCATGGGTATGGAGTGCATAATAATTGAACTAAAAACCTGCTGGTTGACCAGTAACTACTGTGGTGTCCTTAATAACCGTCTTGAGCTTGATAGATCTTAAGCACAAAATCCAACACCAACTCCAAGGAAATAATTAATTTGAGAAAGGAGAGAAGAGAGGCAGGGAAGAGATGTTATAGTCTCATCAGAGCCACGAAGTTCCATTTCTCATGTGGAAGGCTTTACCCAGGTCTTTCTCCTCACACCTAGGGATAGCGATCCCAGATCTATGTGTGAATGAGGCAGCCTACAGTGTGTGATGTAAGTTCCTCTGGGCTCCACCCTCATCATCACAGGCTGCACGTACACACACACACACACACACACACACACACACACACACACACACACACACACACACACACACACACACACACATGGGGCCTCACGGCTGATGAGTGGACAGCGCTCGTGGGTCGTAGTCGTGAGGTTCCGGGTTCGATCCCCGGTGGAAGCGGAGACAAATGGACAAAGTTTCTTTCACCCCTGATGCCCCTGCTCACCTTGCAGTAAATAGGTACCTGGGAGTTAAACAGCTGCTACAGGCTGCTTCCTGGGGATGTGTGTGTGCTCACCTAGTTGTACTACCTCCATGCTTCCTAAACCTGTTAAACACTTAATTACCCCACCCTCCCACATGGTACAATTTCACCATGGTACAATCGCACAATAGCACAATCCCAACCATGGTACAATCCCCACCATGGTACAATCCCACCATGGTACAATCCTACCGTGGTACA